GGTATCGGTGCCGCCACTGCCGTACAGTTCTCCAGAGCCGGTGCTAATGTTGTGGTCACCGGTAGACGAGCCGATAAAGTGTCAGAAGTGGCCAAAGAGTGTCTCAAAGTATCACCGAAACAGTCGAAAGCACTGGAAGTGGTGGCGGATGTGACTAAACCGGAAGACTTGCGACGACTTGTGGACACAACTGTCAAACACTTCGGGAAACTCGATGTTCTGGTGAACAACGCCGGCGGAAGTATTACTGCTAAAGTGGATGATAAGGATTTCTACGAGAATTTCTCTAAAGTAATGCAATTAAACCTCAATTCTGTGGTCTATTTAACGCATATATGTGTCGAGCATTTGGAGAAAACAAAGGGAAATATAATCAACATCTCGAGTGTCGCCGGTTTGAGATCCGTAAGCAAATAATTACTGTTAATTGGAAATTATATAAAATATAATATAATTTTTTTAAATCCCAGTTTGCCGGGTGGTCGCCCTATTGTATGACTAAGAGTGCTCTCGATATGTTCACCAAATGTATGGCCGCGGAGTTGGGACCCAAACGTATTCGCGTTAATGTCATCAAGTTAGTTATTTATTAAACATTGTACCATAACACAATTAATTTAATAATCCATTAAACATTACAGTCCCGGACCAGTTCGCACTGAATTCCTGTTGGCTATGGGTATACCTACCTCCGGGTCTGACAAATTTTTTGAGGGTTTTGGCAAAATGCTGCCTTTGGGTCGAGCGGGGTTTGCCAAGGACATTGCTGATTCAATCCTATACCTGGCCAGTGACCATGCTGCTTTCATCACTGGCACTAACCTGGTCTCAGATGGTGGTCAGATCGCTGGTAATGTTAATGCTGAAGCCCTTAAAGATTTGATGTAAACTCATTATATGTCTCAAATAAATCCTAGTATTATCTTAATTAATGATTTTATTATTGATGTTTAAATTACCAGAATTACAATAAATAAAAGCTAATTAATTTCAATTATTTTATATACAGTACAATCTACTAATTCATATTGCGATTGAAAATAATAATTAGCAACTTTTATTTTAATTAGAAAATAACTAATAACTTTTATACTTGTTAATTATTGTTTAATTTTAAAGTTGTTATAATTCTTACAGTAATACTTTTTTTCTATATTAATAAAATTCATATTCATAATAAAGTTATAAATATTATTGTTTATAAATAAAGTAAGTTATGAAACTTTTATAAATGTTTATAATTATAATTAAAACGTTATTTGATAATTTAAATAATTTTTAATTCTTTATTATAATGTAAGTAAGTTAGATAATTAGTTATTATTGTTAAGTGAACTCTAACCTCGGACAACATTTCAATACGTTTTTAACATAGATTTCTAAGGCACCAAAATTGAACTTTAGACTCGAGAACTTCAA